TACTCAGAAAATTACCCAGTAATATGGCTTTGGGGTGTTTTGTTTGTTTTCCCCCGCCTGTCTTCATACTGTCTAACTGTTCTGTATAGACTGAATGTTTACCGTACTGTTATCAAGGGATTAGGTCCCTGTACTGTGTGACTGTTAGTTTTGTATAGACCGTACTGTTTTGTACAGACGGAATGTTTTCTGTACTGTTATCTAGGGTTGAGTCCCTAGTTGAATGGATGTGAATATTGTGTATACTGTTCTGTACTGTTTATGTATGAATGCATGGAAAATCTTTTGCATACAGACTGTCACAGCTCATTGGACATTGTTTAATTACTGTATTGGCTTCCCCAGGCCCTGTACTCTGTTTTACTGTATTACTGTTCTGCAGGCCTTCGGTAATCTCGGATTACTGGCCGGTTACGGTGCTAAACCCATAGGGCCGGGTTTGGGTCGTGACAATGGCCATGGAAAAGGAAGTAACTAGATGACAAGATTCACTAAGAGAACCAAATAGTTGGAAGAATTCAATACTCATGTTGGATTCTGGCAACAAGGAATAGTATTTTCAAAGGTGTGTAAAGCATCTTGTCTCCATAGTTCTATTTTCCATATATAACCCTCCCTTTTGTAATTTCATTCACATTTTCCTTCTGATATAATCATTTTTTGGAATTCAATTATCGTTTTCAGTTTTACCCATGCCTGGGATTGTGCTTGACTCTTCTAAATGAAGCTAATGATAAGTTCACCCAATGTGCTTAATACCCATGGCTAGCCCATACTTTGTAACTGCTAGTTGACTATTACAAATATTTCTCCCTACGACAAACAACTAAGAACTTGTTGGATGTGAGGCATTCTATTTATTTAATTATGTTATTGTCATTCCTTCCTGTTCTTTTATTGTTCTTTCTCTTGATGTCAAGCGTGTTATCTATTCAACTTGATGAATAAAGTGGGTGATTTATAATTTAGTTTCCTTGTTACCACATTTTATCTTGTGCATGTGTGGCTCCTTGTGCATCATGTAATCTAACTATGTCATTAGTTTAACATTAAAGTAGTTTAAAGTAATAATACTTGGTTTTTGTTTTGTTTTGTTTTGTTTTTGTTTTTGTTTTTTTTTTTATTTTTAAAATTATATCTGCTGCTAATAGTTTGGATGCATTGTCAATATTATTTGATATGGATGCTATGAATTCCTAAACCAAGCTTCTTTCAACATGATATATTGATCTCCATGTTTTCTGGAATTTTAACCTGGTTATTCTATGACATATTGATCAATTATTGTGCATTATTTTTAAATGGGAAAATAGATTATATATATTTATATATCCCCAATGCCCCATTTATAAGTGGGTTGTATTGTTTGTAAATTTTCTGCAAAATGTTTAATTGGCATATATCATGCCGTCACAGGATTTTCTGCTAATAAGTAGATACCACGTGGCCAAATTTCTTTAGTTTAACTTCATTGACAGATCTTGTCTTATTTTTCAATATCATGGTCTTATTAGTTAATTCATGGATGCTACTTTCTGAAGACATGACTTAACTAAGATTGCTGCTGGAAAAAAAAGAAAAAAAAAGAAAAAGAAAAGCAGAGGAATTAAGCCTAGTTTACTTTAAGACGCACCAAATAATAATTAGTTATAAATAATAACATAGGTGTTTGTCAAAAATGGGAAAAAAAGCATTGTTTTTTTCCCATTTTCTTTTGTACTAATCATTTTTATGGTTATAAACCTTATTTGCAACAGAGCAAAGGTTGTCTTAGATGTTGTACTAAGGCCCCTCAGATAATTGCTGTCAACAAGCCATCCAAGAGACTCAGAATTTGAGGCTGAACAGTTAAGAAATCAAGCATTTCAGAGGATTTTTGGAGCACCAACACTTGTGAGATGGACAATAGTATTGTTCAGTCCTAGAGAAGTGGATCATCAATGAGCACATCAAATTCGCCCCTAGATCCCCATAACAGTGCTGGAAGCACAAGTAATCCTACTGAATTTGTAAATCATGGAAAATTCAAAAAATAAGTTAATTCCTTCTATTGTTAACTGCTTACCAGAATGGTTGCTTGCATTCCCCATAATATTAATCAACGTGTTGCTTAGCCATTGTTTCTGACAAATTACCTCTACTCATCCTCTAAGATATTCTAGGCCCCAAAACTGTGAACTAGATGGTTATCAATCTTTATTTAGATTAGTGGTGGTTCTTTGGATAGATGTATGGTTGGAACCACTAATTCTTTTTTCTTTTTTTTTTGTTTTTTTTCTATTTTTGGTCTGTGGACTATGGAGTTTGGGCACTTGATCAAATTTTGAAAATGCCCCAATATCCATGCCGCTCTGATTTAACAAGCATGTAGTAACTTCCACAATACATATTTTATATTACTGGTCTGTTAAGTTAAATGCTTTGCATTTCCCCTAGGCCACGAAGAGCTTTCAAGGGCACTCTCATATGAGACTTCTCCAGTAGTGTGCTTCTTTGTCTACTAAATTTAATCCTTCATTTGTCCAGGTCTTCTTCTTTGGAATTATATAAGACAGGAATGGATTGGAAATAAGAGGTCTCAAAACTGTACATAAGTTCCCAAACCCAAACTAAGGTGTTTTACTTTGCCTTTCTTATATTTATGTGAAGTGCAAACTTGTCATCTTCATTTATAGTTCCTTGAAGCTTCTCTTCTTGTTTTTCATTGTAATGTGGCTTGATCATCATTTATGATGTTATCACATGTTTTATTGGCTGGTGATATCTAGGTTATGATCTTAGGTTACCAGCCGAAATGTACTCGATGGTATAAAAAATTGAGTCACTTGCTCGGCAGGTAAGTTCCATAAACAAGACTGCATCTGATTTGCCATGTCTGCTTGTTGATGTTGTCTATCGTTTAATGGGCTTCAAAACATATTTATTCATGCTGATTTAGTGTAATGTATTTTTAATTGAGCTGTTCTCTATGACAATACAAATTTAATGTGCCAAATAGTATTGAGTATGGCCACTTGCTAGTTGGAACAATAGACCAATGGAGATTCTTTTGTTTGGCACCAACAACACCAATGTTGTGCTGTTATAATGTTGTAATGCTATATGTTATTTGCACATCCATTGAGCTCACTGTTAGGATAAGTCATAGAAAAAGGGCCCTAAACTTAGGTTGGGAGTTAGAGTCGAATATGTCCAAAACTTAGTTGAAAAAGAGCTTTTCGGGGGTGAAAATTGAAAACAGTCCCTGAACCACCATTTGGCTCACACGGGCAGTTTCCCCATGACAAATAGGACTTGTCACAACTGACGGAACGTAATTCGGACCTGTAGGTTGGGAGGTAGAGTCGAATACGCCCAAAACATAATTGAAAAAAGACGTTTCGGGGGCGAAAATTCAAAACACCCCCAAACTGCCGTGTGGCCGACACGAACAGCTTCCCCATGCCAAATATGACTTGTTACATCTGACAGAATGTTATTCGGACCCATATGTTGGGATTTAGAGCCGAATACGCCCAAAACTTAGTCGAAAAAGGGCGTTTCGAGGGACGAAAATTCAAAACAGCCCCTGAACCGCCGTGTGGCCGACACAAATAGCTTCCCCATGCCAAATATGACTTGTTACACTTGACGGAATGTTATTCAGACCCATATGTAGGGATTTAGAGCCGAATATGCCCAAAACTTAGTCGAAAAACGGCATTTCGGGGGGCAAAAATTCAAAACAGCCCCCGAACCGCCGTGTGGCCAACACGAACAGCTTCCCCATGCCAAATATGACATGTTACAACTTACGGAATGTTGTTCGAACCCATATGTTGGGATTTAGAGTCAAATACGCCCAAAACTTAGTCGAAAAAGGGCGTTTTGGGAGCGAAAATTGAAAACAGCCCTTGAACCGCCTTGTGGCCGACACGAACACCTTTCCCATGCCAAATAGGACTTGTGACAACCGGTAGAATGTTATTCGGACCCGTAGGTTGGGATTTAGAGACGAATACGCCAAAACTTAGTCGAAAAACCGCCTTTTGGGGGCAAAAAATCAAAACAGCCCTGGAACCGCCGTATGGCCTACACGAACACCTCTCCCATGCCAAATAGGACTTGTGACAACTAACGGAATGTTATTCGGACCTATAGGTTGGGATTTAGAGACGAATACGCCAAAACTAAGTCGAAAAAGGGCGTTTTGGGGGCGAAAATTCGAAACAGCCCTTGAACCGCCGTATGGCCGACACGAACACCTCCCCCATGCCAAATAGGACATGTGACAACTGACGGATTGTAATTCGGACCCGTAGGTTGGGATTTAGAGACGAATACACCAAAACTTAGTCGAAAAATGACATTTCGGGGGTGAAAATTCAAAACAGCCCCCGAACCGCCATGTGGCCAACACGAACACCTCTCCCATGCCAAATAAGACTTGTGACAACTGACGGAATGTTATTTGGACCCGTAGGTTGGGATTTAGAGACGAATACGCTAAAACTTAGTCGAAAAACAGCCTTTTATGGGGAAAAATTCAAAACAGCCCTTGAACTGCTACGTGGCCGACACGAACACCTCCCCCATGAAAAATAGGACATGTGACAACTGACGGATTGTAATTTGGACCCGTAGGTTGGGATTTAGAGATGAATATGCCAAAACTTAGTAAAAAAGGACATTTTGGGTGCGAAAATTCAAAACAGCTCCTGAACCGCCGTGTGGTCGACACGAACACCTCCTCCATGCCAAATAGGACTTCTGACAACTGACAGAATGTTATTCGGACCCGTAGGTTGGGATTTAGAGACGAATACGCCCAAAACTTAGTCAAAAAATGGCGTTTCGGGGGCGAAAATTCAAAACAACCCCCCGAACCTCCGTGTCGCCAACACGGGCAGCTTCTTCATGCCAAATAGGACATGTGACAACTGACGGAATGTTATTCGGACCTATAGGTTGGGATTTAGAGCCGAATACGCCCAAAACTTAGTCGAAAAATGGCGTTTCGGGGGTGAAACTTCAAAACAGCCCCCGAACCTCCGTGTGGCCAAAACGAACCGTTTCCCCATGCCAAATATGACTTGTGACAACTGACGGAATATAGGTTGGGATTTAGAGCTGAATACGCCCAAAACTTAGTCGAAAAGAGGCGTTTCGGGGGCAAAAATTCAAAACAGCCCCTGAACCTCCGTGTGACCAACACAAACAGCTTCCCCATGCTAAATAGGACGTGTGATAACTGACAGAATGTTATTCGGACTAGTAGGTTGGGATTTAGAGTTGAATACGCCCAAAACTTAGTCAAAAAAGGGCGTTTCGGGGGCGAAACTTCAAAATTGCCCTCGCACCTCTATAGACACCCCATTTTTGACCATTCTCAAGACTTGGACGTCATCATTTGAACGCTCGGTGATCATCCATATTTGTGTTCGTTTTGAGTTCTCGGAGGTCTCGGCTGCGCGTCTTGCCTCGGGATCTCTTAACTTGCCTGTTCTGTATTTGGTTTTGCACTAAGAACTTGTTTGTTTTTGCACTTGAGGGTAGGAAGTGGCTTGTTAGCCATCCCCTAAAACCCACCGGCCATGGCATGAAGCCACCGGCCTTGCTTTTTTTGCTACCGATCAAATGTTTGGTCGGTCGACACTTCTGTTAGGTGCATCGGCTCTTTGTGTGGTCGACCGGCACTTTATTTGGCCGATTGTCTTTTTTTTTGGCTGGCACCTCCTTTTTGCCTTTTTCAGGAATTGTGCATGCCAGCTGTGCCAGCTGGAGTGCACGGACTTGTCTTCCATACACGTGTATGGAGGATTTGCACCATTTGCACCTTTTTTGCTCTAGCTTCTTGGAGAAGCTTGCATCCTTTGCCTTAGCTTCTTGAGAAAACTTGACCCTTTGTCTTAGCTTCCTCAAGAAGCTTACACCTTTTGCCTTAGCTTCCTTGAGAAGCTTGACCCCCTTAACTCCTTTGTGTTTAGCTTTTTTAAGAAGCTTAGGTCTTTATCTTGCTCTATATAAGAGAGCCTTCCCTCTCCTTTGAAGAGGTTCAGCAAAAACCAGAGATATATGATATATACAACTTTCTCTCTCTATATCTCCCTCTCTCTCTTCATTTGTGTGTGTTAGAGGGTCTAAAAGGGTGTTTTGTTCTTAATTTTGCACTAAGGCACCTAGTATTACACCATACTTGGGTTATTAAGGTGTTGGGAGATTGTTCTTAGAGCTTTTAAGTTGGTTTCGATTAGAAAAGGGTCCTGAGGTTGCTGTTCTTCAAGTGTTCTTCAAGGGTGAGCATAATTACTTTATATTTCCCATTCTTGCACTAGTTTTTAACCCACTTTGCATGCTGTTTTGAGTTTTGTGTATAACTGATAAAATTTTTATTTTTTGATGTTTAAGATGTTTCATTAAGGTCATTTTGGTGTTGGGGGTTGACCTCCCCCTCTTAGGCCTTGTTTGGCCCCTTTTGTGCCTTCTTTGTTGAGTTTTGGAACCTTTTGTGTATTGGCCTTCTCACCACTAAAATCTAGTGGATTTTCAGTGGTGGTGAAGGAGTCTTGAAGTCTTGTATAGGGGAGGGACACCCCTCTCCCTTTGTGTCTCATTTGTTCATGTTTTTGGCTCATAAGGGTAGCATACATGCTTAGCTTTACTTAGCTCCATTTCAGAGGTTTTTGGGTGTTATTTGGTCACATTATACCTCTATTTTTGGTCGGATTGATGGTCTATTACATGCATCATACACTTGTCTAGTAACCCCTCTTATTGTCATAATATGTGCCATGCATTTGCCCCCTCCATGCTTGCATGTTCTAGCTTGACTTCATGAAGCTTTTGGTCATATTTCATCATGCTTGAGGTCTGTTGGGTACTGATTTGATCATGTTTGCCATGTTTGGTATAGCCACCATGCATTTTGGCTTGTGAGCCTTGAGTGTGTGAGTCATTAGCATGCTTTAGTTGGATTGTTTCAGTGATTTGGAATCATTTTCCATGCTATTTCAGTTCATAATCCATGCTTGTATACTTGCATTCATCATCCTTTCCATGCTTTGAAGAGATGCTCTTTTGTGCCTTAAAATGAGTCATTGTGCATGCCTATGTGTTTGAGGCTTTGGGCTGCCATATCAGTGGGTTTTGGGGCTCCTTTTGCATGTTAAAACTTTGTTTTGCATTGATTAGTCCATGCCATATGTGGTTGGGGTGGTTATAGTAGAGTGCCCTCTTTGTGGCCTTAAATCTCCCTTTGTTTTGCATCCATTTCTTAGCATGTTTTAACCATGATCTATGCATGCTTTAGTCTTGTTTTGGAGTGCCTTAGGACTGTTTTAAGTCATTTTGGTCCTTTGAGGTTTGGTTGACATAGCTATGGTTTGGACCCGTTTGTTGGCTTCAAGTTTTGGTCATTGTTGCATGCCTTACTTGCATAACATGGTTGATTTGGCATCACCCTCTATACACTTTCAGAATTTAACATGTTGGTCTAATGTCCATGTTTATCATCTTTTGAGTGTTCTTGAAAGTTACCTTTTGTGCCTTAGCTTTAGGCCCATTGGTGTACATGTTTGCATGAGCATTTATCTATCATTTCCATTACTTTTGGCCACTGTTAAAGGCAAGGCTGAGGTCTGTCCTTTGCGGTTTAAGCCCACCATTACATGTTTGTTGCATGTTTGTTGCATATTTGGTTCATTGTGTGTTGTCACATGCTAATTCCATCGCGTATTGTTGCATGTTTGGCACATTGCATACTTGCAGGATAGGTTACACCGCATTTGGCATACTTTGTTAACTTAGTCTCATGTTGCATAATTGAGTCATGTTGCATACTTGAGTCGCATTGCATAC